GTTTTCATTACTTTTATTACTATTTTAGCACTCTTATGTGATTTGATTGCTATTTTTGCCTTACCGTGGCTTCTTTCGTCTCATTCTAGTGTGTGCGCTAAGGTGTTGTTTTGATTGCTAACTACTTGTGCTACTACCGTACTCTTTTATTGTTATTTGTATTGTTGCTCTTCCCTTCTTTAGCGGTGGTTTGTAACTACTTTTATTGTGTTAGTAGTCTCGTCTCTGCTTTGCTTTTTGGTGCTGGTGTGTACCTGTAGTGGCGTGGGTTAGCAATGTAGCTCTAAGGCCATATCCCGGGGTTGGGACGGGTGTGGGAGGTTCAGGGGGGTAAGGTAGTGTCCCATGTGCGTTTTGGCTCATGGAACATAGGCACCCTCACAGATAAGTCAATTGAGTTGGTGCAAGTTCTCAAGAGGAGAAGGATTCAGGTAGCGTGCGTGCAAGAAACTATGTGGGTGGGCACTAAGGCACGAGAGGTTGATGGTTTCAAACTGTGGTATTCAGGTTCAGCTAGGGGAAGGAATGGAGTCAGCATTCTGGTGGCGCCGGAGCTGCGTTAGTTTGTGGTGGAGGTGAAGAGGATTAGTGATCGTCTGATGTTTATCAAGTTGGTTTTGGGTGGGTGCGCTATCAATGTCGTGAGTGCTTACGCCCCGCAGGTTGGCCTGGCAGACGAAGTAAAGAGGGAGTTTTGGGATGCCTTGGATGGGGTGGTTGTTGGTTTTCCACTGACTAAGAAAGTCGTCATTGGAGGGGACTTCAATGGCCATATTGGAGAATCAGCTGATGGCTTCGAGGACGTGCACGGTGGTTTTGGATTTGGCTGCAGGAACCAGCGGGAGTTTCACTCTTGGAGTTTGCCACAACGAGTGATATGGTGGTTGCTAACTCTTGTTTCCCTAAACGAGACGACCATTTGGCTACACTTGTTAGTGGAGTGGGGACAACACAGATCGACTATCTTCTCCTGCGCACGTGTGATCGGGTGCTCTGCAAGGATGCTAAAGTAATTCCGAGTGAAAACGTCACTACCCAACACAAGCTTCTCGTGATGGATGTTATGATCAGGTGGGAGAAACATAGGAGAGCTTCGAGTGGCAACACACAAATCCGGTGGAGGAGACTAAGTGCGGAGAATATCGCTGAGTTGACCAGGCGAGTGCACGAAAAAGGTGTGTGGGAATCGACCGGAGAGGCTACTGATATGTGGGTGCGGATTGCTAACTGCATCAAGGAAACAGGGAAACAGCCAGGGAAGTGTTAGGTGTGATCTCTGGTTCTAGGAGTAGGCGTCAGGGTGATTGGTTCGTGGTGGAGCGATTCAGTCTGAAGTAAGGTGGAAGCTAAGAAGGTGGCATATTTGAGGTACAAGGGTTGCAATGTTGAGGAGGAAAGAGCGGCGTTACGAGTGAAGTACAAGAAAGCACGTAAAGAAGCTAAGTTAGAGGTAACGAGGGAAAAGAATGCCGCTTTTGAACGCCTCTACAAGGATATTGAGGAAAAAGGCAATGTTAATCCACTGTTTCGGCTTGCTAAGGTGCGTGAGAGGAAGGCCCAAGATCTGGATCACGTGAGATGCGTGAAGGGCAGCGATGGTAGAGTGTTAGTTGAGACTGCCAAGGTGGTTAAGCGCTAGGGGGAGTACTTTAGTGAACTCTTAAATGCGGGAGGAGACCAGAGGCTAGTTCTTGATGAGTTGGGACAGCCCGGGGCGTCTCATGTGTAGTGCCGGCGCATTTGCTTGGAAAAGGTGGTTCGGGCTCTCCGCGGGATGCGTAGTGGGAGAGCTTTGGGACCAAATGAGATTCCGGTGGAGTTTTGGAAGCATGCGGGTCGTGGTGCGTGGGTTTGGTTAACCAAACTCTTCAATGTTATCCTCCGGATAGCAAGGATGCCTGATGAGTGGAGGGAGAGTCTCTTGGTCCCTCTGTTTAAAGGGAAAGGTGACATTCAGAGCTGCGAGAATTACAAAGGCAAGAAACTGCTTAGCCACACCATGAAGGTCTCGGAGAGAATCATTGCATATAGGGTGCGGAACGGGGTTTGCATCTCTAAGAACCAATTTGGTTCATGCCAGATCGACTACATCGACTACAGAGGCCATTCATCTTGTGAGAAGGTTAATGGAAGAGTATAGGGCTAGGAAGAAGGATCTTCATATGGTGTTTATTGACCTCGAGAAGGCGTATGATAGGGTGCCAATGGAGGTCTTATGGAGGTGCCTTGAGGGGAAAGGAGTTCCCATCGTGTACACTCGTGCAATCAAGGACATGTACGATGGGGCTATGACCAAGGTAAGGACTTCCGGGGGCGACTCAGATTCTTTCTCGGTAGGGATGGGGTTCCACCAAGGTCTGCCCTTAGCCCTTTTTTGTTCACCTTGGTGATGGACATCCTAACTCAAGGTGTTCAAGACGGGGTCCCATGGTGCATGCTTTTTGCGAATGATATTGTGCTTATCGACAACACACGTGGAGACTAAACGATAAGTTGGAATTATGGTGCCTTGCCCTTGAGACTAAAGGATTCAAAATAAGTAAGAACAAGACTGAATACATGGAGTGTTGTTTCAGTGGCCGGGATATAGAATCAGAGGTGGAAGTCAAGATTGACCTAGTACCTAAGGTAGACAAGTTTCGATATCTTAGCTCGGTAATCCAGGCTGATAGGGAGTTAGATGCAGATATTGGACATCGTGTTAGAGTGGCTTGGGCCAAATGGCGGTTAGCTTCAGGGGTGTTGTGTGATCCGAAGATTTCGCGTAGAATGAAAGGTAAGTTCTATCAATCCGTAGTCAGACCTGCTATGTTATATGGGGCAGAGTGTTGGGCAGTTAAGAAGACTCATGTGCATCGTCTGCATGCGGCGCAGATGCGGATGTTACGATGGATGTGTGGGAAGACAAGGTTGGATATGATTTTGAACGAAGTTATCCGACGTCAGGTAGGCATAGCACCGTTGGAAGATAAGTTGCGGGAAGCGAGGCTGAGATGGTTTGGCCATGTGAAACGGCGGGATGCCTGTATGGAGATGCGAGATGATTACAGTTATCGGGGGAAGTAGGGGAAGGGGTAGACCTAGGAAGAATTGGAAGGAGGTGATTAAGCAAGATTTAGGACTTCTCGACAGGATATGGCCCTAGATAGGAACCCTTGGAAAACTAGGATTAAAGTAGCTGGATAAGAGCTCGGTGTTGTAGAGGTTGTTTTGTAGTGTGTTGTATTTGTTTGGAATCTTCTGCTATTGCTTGTACTTATTTCTTGTACTTGATGCTTTATCTGTGTTATACTGTGTTCTCTTCCATATTTTTGTGCAGGTGGAGCCAAAGGTCTCTTGGAAACAGCCTCCCTACCTCCGAGTAGGGGCAAGGTCTGCGTACACACACCCTCACGACTGTTGTGGGATTCACCTGGGTTGTTGTTGTTGTAGCCTATGATACTTACGGAAAAAAATCCCTCTATAATTGTTAAGGCCAACTTCATGTCACATTGGCCCCTGTTTATTCACGGGTGGCGTATCTAACCCCTAACTTATTGAAAGAGTCATTTTTCTTCAGTGTCTATTGTGTCCAAAAGTTGCAATGTCTTGTTCAAGTAAAATAACAGAGAAATTTCAAAAGAGTGTAAACAAAAAATGCTCCCATCAAAGAATAGGTAATGAAAGCAGAAATGACAGCTATATGACTGAATTAAATCAGAAGGATAGATAAAGCGTGTACCAGTTCTGGGAGACAGAGTAAAAAGATCAACTTAAAGATGCACTCAGATGGAGACCAATCCAGGACGGCTTTATTGTTGCAGATTGCCGTTTTGAGAGCCATTACTAGTGGGGTGAGTCCAACATCCTTACCCCCATAATCAAGACATAACACATCAGGTCTTGCTCCAAGCTCCAAAAAGTGCTCTATTATGCTAGGTGATAAACTTTTAGCCGCATAATGCAACGGGTAATATCCATTCTTAGTTACTACATTAGCATCCATTCTTAGTTGGAACAATGCGGTGGCGCATCTCACTGTGTCATGGGAAATAATACACTTGATAACTTGGGCTAGGTCAAGCTCACCGTCTATTGCACACGGCTTTGCCTCTGATAATTGAAAATCAACCCGTTGCACAAACTCATCTACCTTGTCACCCTTGATCGTGTCTTCAATATCACTAAACCCATCGTCAATCACATGCAACTACAAAATTTTACCAAAATTATTAACATGAAAGTTTATAGACTCATTCCTAAATATGTTTAACTTTGAAATAAAACAGAGAAACATAGGCCATAAAGAGAAAATTTGGGAGGGGTAGAGTAACAAACATGCACATTCCATCTCCCAATGAATAGATCTTGGTCGATTTATCTATTAAGCCAGTCGCCCAGTCCACTAGATTCAGAAGTATGAAAATTTTACTACCCCATGTCGAGATGATAAGGTAATGGTGGGAAGAATTAAAAGGAACCAGTGGCAGCCTTCTTGTTGTTCTTTATGGTATTTTTTGGATGCATTTGCTTTTCCAACTTGCATCAGACTATTACAAGAGATAAATTTTTAATTTTTTGGTCCCTCGTATTCCTATATAGGCTGCGCACTATTGCGCTAATTAGAGAGCTCCTCATACTAATTAGAGTTAAATAAGGGACAAAGCAGCTATAAAGATACACGATACTTGGACGATGAAATTCTCAGTGACAAATTAGAGCAGGACGAAGCAAAATCACAACTTGCAACTTCTGGTTTCTACTAGTTTTTATTTACATATATACTTCGATCTTACTTCATCTAATCCTCCCAAACTGAGTCCCACAATGAAACAAAAGTTCATGACGTTTAATTCCGATCTGACACAGAGCATTCCGATCTGCTTCTAGCAAGTAAAAAACTCCAATTCATGCATTATACTCCTTCATTGGAAATCTTAGAGCAACAATAAATGATAAGTGTATCTAAGAGTCACAAAGCGCGGATAAACACATCGAATTTGCATTCTGGTGGCGGATGAAGTTCACCCCATTATCTTTCGTGATGGCGAATCCCCACCGCAAAAACAAATGAAGAAAAAAATGAAGCTTCAAGAACATACCATGGCTATGAACTTCAAGGACAAGGCTGGGAGGGATTGTGGGTGGGGTATATTTGCGGCGGAAAACCTCATAGCACTAAAACAAACATAATGACTTTCTTCCCACATGTGTTTTTCTTCCCAATGTAGCACTTTTAGTCATTATGGATTAGTCATTATTAAAGTAAATATTCGTCATCACAAGACATTATGGACATTATTAAATGCTATTTAGGAAATAAAACAATTTAAGTGCTATTTAGGGAAATGACTTAAGTTTTAGTGCTATTTAATGCAAATATTTCCACTACTTAAACTACTTAAGTTCAGACGGTTTGTTTCAGCCTTTTAATGTTTTAGATGTCTGAATGGTTAAGAGATTTGCCTCTGAGTGGTTAAGTATTATACAGAGTCTGAATGGTTAAGACCTCTTATATGAATTGATCGGACATTTGTCTCTAAATAGTTAAGCAATATATTAGTTCTTAATGGTTCAGACCTCTTACTGGTTCAGCATTTAATGGTTCAGACTTCTTACTGGTTCAGCACTTACCTATTCAGAAGTTGTCAAACAGCCCCTTATTGTTCTTTATAAAAGGGAGTTAGACATGGGATACCCTATTTCGAGCAACAATGCACTTTGTATAGTTTTTAAATCATCATTTTGACTTTTTTGTTATTGTACTTAATGAGAGTAGAAAAGGATGGAAATTTACCAAAATACCCTTAATGAAAATGGTGGGGTGTATTAAATAAGGTGGAAAAGGTGTAATAAATAAAGTAAATGGAGGTAGTTGTGGTATTTTAAATGTTAAAAAAGGTAATGAGAAGATCTATGTGGGACAAATAAAAAGAGCTAATGGAAAAATCTATGAGGGACGAAGGGAGTAATGCATTACACATAAATAAATTATACATATAAAAATGCATTATGAATTCTGGAAGACTTCTTTATATATAACATTTGAAGTGTAAAGCATTATTTTCTTCATGACTTGTCACACGGGAGATAACAACACATAGCTGACTGTAACTAAAGATTGGTTTTTTAAGTAATAGTAAAGATTGACCTTGACTTTTGTTGTATAGTGATTGGTTAAATGATGGATGTTGCAATACTCTATGTTGTGGATTAAATTCTATCAGATATACTCTCTCGATAAAATGATGGAACAATAATGATTTATGAAATCTATAAATAAAGTATATTTGGCAATAATACTCTTCATTTTTAATAAGTACTTTGGATACATATTATTATACGAAGAGATGTTCTTACACCTTGTCCTAAAATGAAAAATGACAGAATGTTATAATTAAAGGTTTCATAAAGATGATAAGGTGGATTTTCTTAAATATAAGGGTTTAAAAGGGTATCGATTTGTTATGGATAGTAGAGTAGGATATTTATAACTATTATTATTATTATTATTATTATTATTATTATTATTATTATTATTGTAATTTAGGTTTTATTAGGTGAGCGGAATTATAAGCTCCTTCGAGGTTTCTTTAGCGTTAGGGTTTCCCTATTCCCTATATATAGAGATGTAACCCCTTTAAAATATTCAATGAATAAACAAATCAAACCCTAATTCTCTTTTTCCCTCGGTTCGCCGGTTCCCTCCTTCGCATCAATTCTTCTTCTTCCTCGTCCCATATTCTCAAGAGCTCGAAGACGCTCTAAGTCTTCCCTATCTGATACGAGTTCGTATCATTGGTGCTCTCATTGAGAGACTTCAAAAAAAATCCAAAAAAAAAAATGTCCACCAATTGCCGATCCGGGACAACACAAATCTCCACAGCGTTAATTTGCCTGTGTCACCAACTGCCAATCCGGAATCAAGAATTGAAAAGGCAGCGTTGATTCAATCCATATTCAGCAACGGCTTTTCCAACCTCAAGATTGAAGAAGGGAGTGTTAAATCATCTTCAACAATTTGTTTTTGTATTGCCTCCATTGGGTGTGCCACTACAATCCGAGCAATCCCTAGTTTTGGGCCCCAATAATTGCCGCCGAACCCTAAGAAACAAAATTGGGTTTTTTACAATAGTCTTGGGTTGCTTTGAGTCTTTGACCCACGCATGGAGTATTAATTCAATAATTGGGTGCTACTAATACTTCCGCCTTGGACGAACTGAGTAAGTGGGTACTAGATTTGAGTGCATTGCTTTTTCATTTTTTTTGTATCCGTCTTGCCACAACTATGGTCTCGATTTTGGATAAAATTATTGTGACCATGGACGATGCTTTAAACAAACTTCTTGGTGTGTTGAAGAATATCTTTTATGGAAGAGCTGAGTTTCACGAAGGTGTCTGTATAGCTTATGATCATGTGGATGAAATTTTGAAGACGTTCCACTTATTTCGTCATCTTTTAGATCTACCGTATTCTGATTCTGAGTTATATGTGTTCAATGTGGAAGCCTCTTATTCGATACAAGATTTAGTTCGTGGCCCTCCCATTGCATTAAGTCCAATTCCCTTGGAGTTAGCAAGTTTCAAAACAAAGAAGATGAACGCTATAAGAAATCTTCTCGGTGCTCCACTTGCTCCAGTAGATATGGCCCCTACAACCATTTTACACAACCCCACATCTTGTAGTATGGAATCTGTTGAGCGCATTATTGTTGATTCAATGAGTGTTTCCGAAGTTGATGATAATGATGTTTCTGTTGAAGCTGTTGTTCATGCCTTTCCGTTCGATCTCGTAGCTGTTGATACCCCCGTAGCTGCATTAGGTAATGGAGAAGCTGTAAAGGCTCAAACATTGAGCAATGTCATCATTGCATATAGCTCTATGCCTCTGTCCAAAAGAGCCCAGGTAGTTGATGCAAATTTTGTGCAAGCGGACAACTCACAGTCATTGGATATCATCGAGAATCCTGGCCATGCTAATATAATTGAGTTTGGGTACCGGATCCTGCCGCGTGTAGTTATGATCATGTCATCAAGTGACCAAAATCTCTGGGTCAACATTTTCTCTCCAGTCCAGAAGCATGAGTGGGAGCCTCCACCTTGAGGACAAGGTGGTTTTCCAAGGGGGTGAGAGTGTTATGGATAGTAGAGTAGGATATTTATAACTATTATTATTATTATTATTATTATTATTGTAATTTAGGTTTTATTAGGTGAGCGGAATTATAAGCTCCTTCGAGGTTTCTTTACGGTTCTTTTCCTCGTCGCTTTTATTGAACCGTTAGGTTAGCGTTAGGGTTTCCCTATTCCCTATATATAGAGATGTAACCCCTTTAGAATATTCAATGAATAAACAAATCAAACCCTAATTCTCTTTTTCCCTCGGTTCGCCGGTTCCCTCTTTCGCATCAATTCTTCTTCTTCCTCGTC